TACAGTCGTCCTCCTCTATAGTCACCTCCTACATAATCACAACTTCTATATAATCACACAAAACTTTGAAACAATTTATTAATAATCTTATTAAAAAGTACTTACATATAAGCACATTATAATTATAATCACATATTTATGTAAAACAAACTGAGTGATTATAGAGGAGGATGACTGTATTAATCCTAATGGTAGAAGTCACAATAAGTAAATTCGGTAAGTCATAATAGAAAACAAATACAAACTAAGTTTTATAACAGAATTTTTTACAGTAACCCACAATAAAAAGTATGATTCCAATATAAACTATCTCAACCTTAACTACATACCACGTATCACTGAAATAGTAGGTTTTGTTACAGTAACTTTTAGAAATCATAATTTCAAATCACTAACTCGGCCTACGTACTGTATATCATTGGAATAACATGTTATAACAATTTGCAATATAGATCATGATAACTTTAATACAAACCAATGCAAATTAAATTACTTTAATTACATGTGGATCCAGGATAAAAATTATGATGATTTTAATACAACCTTAGCTATATACTATCTAACAGAATTTGTGCAATAGCTTATAAAAGAAATATAATAATTTCAATACGATCGAAGCTTGTAATAAAAGTTTTATAGTAACTCATAGTAAAAATCAAAATAATTTCAATACAAGCTAATGAAGATTATTTGGTACTTATCTGATTAAATTCGATCAAAAATTTTTATTTTAATTTTACAAGTTTATAAAAATAAAATAAAAAAATTTAGATCGATTTGATTAGGTGAGTGCCAAGTGGTCTTAGCTCAAAGTTTAGGTATTTATAAAGAAAATTTGCAGCTAATTTTTTTTTTAAACTTTTAGTGAAGATCTTTAACAATTGCCTATCCAAATTTCAATAATTTTTTTTATTTCAATTCAATAAACTTACGGAGTTAAAAAAAAAAAAGTTCTCGTCGAATCTGAATCAATGATGAGAAATCTTCGTTTAAAGTAAAAAAAAAAAATTTACTGATTTTTTGTAAAATTCGAATATTTTTTAAAATTTTAATGAAGATTTCTCAACAACTATCTATCAAGCAGTTTCAGAGAAATCTTCACTAGAGTCTTGAAAATTTTTCAAAATTTCATATGGGCTGATTTCGACCGATTTACATTTTCAAACCAATCTAATTTACAGATCGTTTGGCCTATTGGGGATGAGCTTTAAACTCATCCCCAATCAGGGCCGATGATTTTCTGCATTTACGGAATCAGGTCCTAAACACGGAATGCGTCAAGGATAGCACAGAATTGTCGCAGAAAGTAGGGTTTATAATTTTTTCATAAGTACTCAAGATGCTAAAAAGCTAAAAATATAGCTTCTGAAAATTTCCAGTGTAGAAAATAAATGAACCTAAAATACGAGCATAGTCAAGTTAAAAATTTTGCTTGATGTCCGAAATTTTACGAAGAATGAACAATCAACTTATTGCAAAACATTCGAAGTTTCTATTACAACCAACACAGAATTCATGAATAACAACGCAGAATTCATAAATTTTAATGCACGGAATTTTTGCAGAATTTGATTTTGTCACGGACGGAATTTGCAATTTATCACCGCAGAAAATCATCGGCCCTGTCCCAATGGCAGGGACAGTGATTTATGCGGTGACAAAATCCAAATTATGTGGTAACAAAATTCAAATTATGTGATTTTTGATGTGAACAATATTTGACAAATTATGTGGTATACTTGGCCAATTTATGTGTTATTCTATGGCATACTTGGCCAAGCTACGTGCGGTTCTGTTTCATGGCCAAATTTATCGGAACTTTTCGGACATTATTCCGAAAATTTTTATGATCTTGCTCATAATTTGAATTCTATGTCGGGAGTAATGATTCCTGACGAATCGATTTTTATGGTGACGAAACACTTTGTCAAATGCGACGTCAGACGAAACGTTGGCGATTGACAAAACCCTTGACGATTGACGAAACCCTTGACGAATGATAATACTTAAAAAAAAATATAATATTAATTGTTTTATCAGTTAATCAAAGAAAAAATTGTTCCTGACGAAACTATTTCTCAATGATGAAATGGTTTTGTCAACATACTTGTTTAACAAACCTTTGCGATTGACGAAACTCGTGACAATTGAGAAAACCAATACAGTTAACTCTCTTTCAACGAGCTTCTTTGTAATAGCCTCTGGATACTGAATGTTTAGGTTTTTAAAAATTATATTTCAAAGTTTCACTTGCCAATATGGAAACACATTAAATTTGATCGATAGTGAACTGTTTTCTTGCCAAATCACAAAGCTCTTGACAATTTCATTATTAAAGGAGATTTTCTCTGACAAGCTACTTAATAATGAGCTACGTATATACAAACCTTAATTATTTTTCAATTTAATGCTATTTATTATAGCGAAGTTTATTTTATCAGTCTTCTCTGTCAGCCAATCGGGCCCTTCCAGGAGATAAAGCCTTTGTCAGATAATTTCGGGTAAATGTATCGATATAAAAAAATTGAAAAACAAGTAGATAAAAACAATGAAACAAGAAAAATTAATGTTATATTTACTGATTTATTTATATTATAAAAAAAAATAATGATATTCATATGTTTTATCAATTGTCATCAGTTTCATCATTCGTCATAGGTTTCGCTATTCGTTAATTCATCATTCAGAAATTGCTTGACAAAACGTTTCATCAGATGTCAATGGCGAATGATTCGTCATTCGTCAGGTATCACTAGTCGGGAGGTACCGGATCTGATAAACTTTTATTCATCAACTCACCAATAAATTGCCAAATTATGTGTTTATTCCTGTAAATTGCCTTATTATGTACCATTTTGCGGTGATATTATCAAATTATGTGATATAAGTATCTTTATGTGAATTCTGTGGTATTATGTGAAATACATAAAATCACTGTCCCTGGCCCAATAGGCCAAACGATCTACAAATTTGACCAGAATTAGATTGGTAAATCGAGATCTTCATTATTTTGATATTTTGATTGGCTGCTTATAGCATGTGACCCAAATTTTTTTCAGGTACTCTAATATTGTACAACTGTATAACATATATAAGTGCATGAGAATAAAAATCAGGAAATAAAATTTTTTTAACTCTGATAAATTGTGTCATTACGTAATTTATTATGCATATAATCAGTATTCTAGTTATTTCTATAGTATATAAATCATAACCAGATACTGCAGTGCTCATGCTTTTTTTTTAACAAGTGATTTAAAACATGTCTTTTATTAATGTAAGCAAAATTATACACTAAAAACTTAGAACATTTCTTAGTAATACTATACAAATTTATTGTCTTGGTTTTCTTAACAATAATCTTTTAAACGGCTTGGCCAATTGGCTTTTTTTCATACATAAAAATTTTACAGCTATTATTATAAATTCTGGGACACCAAGTAAAAATTTGTTGCACAATTTTTAGCTGATTCAATTAAGTCATTGAATTTGGCATGATTGGTATATAAAAAAATTATATCAACATGACAAAATTACAAATAGCAAGAACTTATAATTAGTTTTTCAATACAAAAAAAAAAGATATACATCTATGATATTACATGAGAAGGCACTAATAAACAAAAGTGCAAGAATTTATTAACTGAATTAAAGAAATATAATGCAAGTTAAGATTTTAAACAATCTAAGATTTTATTTACCATCAACCCAATTTGGATATTTCTATTTTGACTAATTCTTCTTTTTTTTTTTTATTTTGACTAACTTAGATTTTTCTAATTCGGATGCTTGTACTTGTGCATTAATTTGTTTCCTGTATTCTTTACTTGCTTCAAGTAGTTCTTTTTGTTTTTGTTATAATTTTTTTTAATATACAAATTGCTTGCCTTTATTAAATCGCATATACGTGATTATCTAGATAGCATTTTGATGGAGTAAAAAATGTGGATTTTTAAAAAAAATGGAGATATTATATAGAATATTAAATTATTATAAACATATTCTCACATATGTAAATTACTCAATTGTTTAAAATTTCCTTTATTAATAAAAACAAAAGTACATACTATTGATTATTGTTACAAATTATGAATATAAACTATATATTATGATTTTAAAATAAAACTCATACATGTTTATAAATAATTAGTATATTAATTTTATATTACCTTCCCATATAAATGAACAGATTTTTGTAGTTGATTTGGCTGCTGTCACAGATAATTATTAGATAAGTTCACCAAAGTATCTATTAAAAGTTTGAATTAGATAATAAGATACTATATAATTATTAAGATTGTTGGATTATATATGTAGCTCCTGCTTGCAGCTTTATTGTAGCAATATACTATCGCTACTAGTTATTAAGGTATTGTAATAATAAGATTGTATAACCCAGACTTTTGGTGGCACTCTGGTAAACTCTTATTAGATAGTCTATGTAAGAAATTTTTAAAATAATTGTCAGTTATTTTAATAACTGGGTCAGCATTCTCAAAATGTATAACAATAATACAACTGCATAATATAAATAACCTAAACAATAACAAGCAGCTACTTTAATTAACTTATATAATTGATAAATCATAGCTGTAGTAGCTGCGTTATTGATTTGCTTTAAGAGAGCTACTCTGGTCAACTTGTTTTTAACTAGCTCAAGGCCAGACTTTTTAGAAACCAGATCAGGACTAAACTCTAATTTTACTTAACTTGTATAAATTCATGCATCTTTCTTTTTTGTGGTGATCTGTATAAACAATAAGAAATTATCTAATAAAAATATTTGAAGTAATAATTAAAAATTGTTTTAATAAATTTTTAAAGCAAAAAACCTCTAATTAGCTTCATAACTAATATGTACCTACTTATAATAACCTTAACAAATTGGCTGTTTATTGAAAAAAGTAGAATCTCAATAGATAAGTATTTATTGAGCTCTATTAATTTATTTAAGTCTTGTGTCTAAATAACTATTATTTCAAAAACTAAATTATAAGAGTCTTTGTTTCAAAATAGTACTCATACACATTCTTTAAATAATGTATATAAATATGTAAAAGACTCTTATATATTTATATTTACTCAAAATATATATAGACAAGATTGGTAATTTTACTGTCTACATATTAAAAAAAAAGGTCAATAAAAATCTTATTATATTCAAAATAGTAATTCTTTACAACATAATGATTTATATAATACTCATAAATAATTTATAAGATACTCTACTATTCTATAACAATAGTAAGTATATAAAAAATAGATAATTCTTAATTGTTGTATTAATAATAATATTTTTTCTAATGAATCACAGGCATGAAATTTGAAATCTTAATTTTAAGTCCTATCACTAATAGTGAGACAATTAGTAAAAAAGTTGGTATTTAATTCTTAAAGCACTCTATAAAATTCTATAGTTTAAGGCATTCTTATGCACTTTAACAATGAATATAATAAAAATCTTATTTCTGTCTGATCAATCTAGTCAGATTCTTTATTTAGTTCATTAAAAGCAAAGTGTCTAGCTATTTCTAGTATCTAAAATATCACTAGTAATATCATATAAACAATTAAACTAAACTTGATAAAATTTTTTTATCTTTATCCTATAAATAGATAGAAATTTTGATCAAATTTAGTTATGTAATTATTATAAAATTACTCATTTTATTTTAGATACTATAAATAGCTAGACACAAGAAGCACTTAATAATGATGGAACTATAAGGCTTAGAAAATTTTTTTTATTAATATTAATATCATATATAGAAAAGTGAATAACTTTTACAAAGTATCACATGAATATATAATAGTTAATCAGATAGATTTTCTATAAATATCTAATTTGATATAACATTAACCTCCAATTTTCTATTTTAAAGCTAATTTAAGTTAATGAAACTACTATTAGCTAAAGAAAGGCTGGAGAAAATCTGTTTAATATAAAATAGTAAGGTATATATAATTAAATTGAAATAGTTTTAATAGGGCTAGAGGGATATTTAGTAATAAGGATAAGAGTTGAAGTTAGAGAAAATAAAAATAAAAATAAAAATAGTAAAAGAAGAAAGAAGAAAAAATTGAATTTATAACCCTGCAGTGCTATATATTTAAGCTATAATAAATAAAAAGTTATAAGAAAAAGCTATATAAATAATAATTAAAGTAAGAGAAAAAAGAAAATATATATATATATATTCATATTATAGTAGATAATGCTACCTTGGTGCATTGGGCCTAACATACTACCAGGAGGTTTGAATATACAGCCCTGCAGTACAATATGCCCTAACCATTATACTACAACTGTCAAGATAATAAAAATTATTTTTGTACATTTTTAAAGATTTATTTTGGATAAAATCTACTAAATGAATTGCTTAATTTGATTTTGTGTTAGTTGTCAGAAAATTTTGTATTGTACAGCATATATATTTAAGGTTTTTGTTTAGAGTTAGCTTATACTTCAAGTAAAGATGAATCGACGAAGTTATTTTAGAGTACACTTAAAGAAAAGTTTTAAAAGAAGTTTGTCTCCAGAGAAATAGAAGATTTACCTTCAAAAGAAAATGAAGATTTGTTTTAGAATAAAGTAGTAGCTTTAACTTAAGAAGAAGAAATGCTTTTATCACAAATTGAAGTTGTGAAGAATGTTAGTAAGATTTCAGAAGAGCAGGCTAAGGAAATTTATTCCTATGATTTTTTGTCAGTTGGGTTTTCAAGAATGAATAAGTATGTATTTGTATTATTAATATAGATAGCTTGATAAAAGGGTTTATATTTTACAAGGATTAAGTAAAATATTAATTATACAGTTTGTGAAATGAAAAAAAGTCTATAAGAAAAAGGT